GAAGGAATGGGAGTGAAGATATACGGTCGGCAACTACACCACCTCCACCCCTCCGCTTTGCTGATGATATCATTCTAATAACACCAAACATCAGCCAAGCAGCACAAATGCTGGCTGACTTCGACCGTGAGTGTGGAAAGGTCTGACTACAGCTAAATCTCACGAAGACAATGTTTATGAGAAACAGTCTCATTCCTCATTCCACACATTCCTTTCACTCTCAATGGAACGAACATCTCCGACTGCAACAGTTATGTGTACCTTGGTCGAGAAGTCAACATGACAAACGACCTGGCACCTGAGTTGTGCAGGAGGAAGAGAGCAGCTTGGAACACCTTCAAGAGTGTCGAAGAAATAGCTAAGAGGACAAAGAACTTCCAGCTCCAGGCACATCTCTTCGATTCCACTGTTCTTCCTGCATTAACATATGCTCTAAGGCATATGGGCCCTACAAAAACAGGATGAAAACGCTATTTGGGTCTCCCAAAGAGGAATCGAAAGAGCTATGCTTGGTGTATCACGCTTCACTCAAATGAGAGAAAGAATCCGGAGTTCTGACTTCCATTGACGATCAAGAATCAGGGACGCTGTCTCATTTGCCAAGGCATCGAAAATCAGATGGGCTGGACACGTAATGAGATTTGCAGATGACTGCTGGACTAGAGCCATTACTGACTGGATTCCACGAGACGTCAAAAGATCGCATGGCCACCCACCTACGAGATGGTCAGACTTCTTCGTCAAGACCCTGAATGATCAGTTTGAGGCTCTTCGTGTTCCTAGAATGAGCAGACGCCATTGAGCTACACTAGCACGCGACAGGGACAAATGGAGATGTTACTGGCGCACTCTCAAGCAAATCGATGAATAACGGGATGTCAACTGATCATCTTCGGCTACATTAAACTTTTTTAAAATTTCCTGGGATTCGGACCAGGAAGATGGTTAGAAGAGCTAGAATATATGCTTCACGTGTGGGAGTCCCAAGTTCAATTCCCAGTGTCATATGATCCTCCAAGCACCACTGGGTGTGACAGAGCCCCCCCAGCCACTCAACAGGGGCAAAAGATTTAAAAAGTTCTTGGGTTTATTCTCTGAACAGCGTTAAGAATTAGTAGACTTCTGGAAGTGATATATTTCAAGTTCTATCAAATGTCAAACTGCTTCTTTATCTTTAAGTATTATTTCAAAACAGCCAATGATAAAAGTTCTGTAATTCCTATATATAAATGTACCTGTGAAATGCTTTTGTAACACACATATGGAATAGTTAAAAGCGAAATGCTGAGGTGTATTTGATGTGTCAGTGGCTTTGCTGTGTGCTGTGGCTTTTAAGTAAAGAATAAAGAGTGTCATAGAAGGAAGGCTTTCCTTTTTTTGTTTCCTCCCCCCCCCCCCCCACCCCGTACTGGAATCTAGTCTAGTCCTCTGTTCAAGCAATGAGATTACTTAAGAGCTATCACTGTGCAGATGTGTGTATGTGGGGTGGGAGGTAGGGTGAGGCATGGAAGGACCTCAGCAGACAAATGAGCTGTACCGCCTGATCAAAGATGTCAGTAGCATAACGAGAGAAAGAGATTAAAGGAGAAACGGCTAGGTAAAAGATTACACAATACAGAGGAGAAACACTACATAAAAAATAGAAGTTTAAGCAATGTATGAACAGTAAAAAGGACAGTGGACAAACCAAGTTTATTATAAAGATTTCCAGCAAAGACCTACAAATAGTGTAATAATATGACACAAAGATGCTTGTAGAGACATATTTGAAACATACATAAAAATTCAGAGAGATGTTTCAAGTGCCAAAGTGCCAATGATTGAAGTTCAGGAAGCAGGATCAAACAGGATGACATTAGACATCCGGAGTATAGCAGATGCCAAAAGGAAAAAAAAAACCCAAAATTCCAAACACCCTGAGATGCTGATCCAGCTTCCTGCTCCATCCCCAACATCCATATCTCAGCTAGGAAAAGATTCAACCCATGATCGCTTTCATGGGTTGAAAAGACTCAACCCATGAAAGTGGCATGCCTCGTACTTCAGTTAATGTCTATTAGCTTTAAAAAGAAAAAAACCCCACAATTTTAACCACACATAACTATAAAATAGAATGACATACTTTTATTTGCACTGTACATAGGCACTTGCCTTGCACATGGCCAACCCAAATTCCATCCCTGGTATCCCATATGGTCCCCCAGATCCACCGTGAGTGACTTAAGTGCAGAGCCAGGAGTAAGCATTAGCAGAGTTGGGGATGGCCCCAAAACAAACAAAACAAAGACAAAGAATAAACTTTTTAAGTCCCAAGTCAAGAATACTGTTTTTATAACCAAGTAAACCCTTTACACTATCATTTTTCTATAGCAGAATGCATAAAGGTCTTCTCCCTGACTAAATGTTATCTGAACTCTTAACCAGAAGTAGGGAGACAGGAGGATGTTCGCATGCAAATCGCCATGATAAATGTATATGGTATTTGATGGCATTATCAAAGAAACATTGAAAATTATAAGTTTTGTATAAAATTACAAATAATCCTCTAGTATGTCAGTTTATCTATCACATATGATTTGGTTTGGTATTTTTGGTTTTGTTTTGGTTTTTGAGATTTGGACCCTATATATGGTGCTTAGGGCTTATACCTGGCTCAGTCCTCAGGGATCACTCCTGGTGGTGGTACGGGGGCCATCTGCAGTACCAGGAATTGACCCAGAACAGACCATGTGCAAGGCAAGCATTTTACCCCTATACTATCTCTCGGCCCCTAATCATAAGTGTTTTTTCTCTCTGGTCCTATATTTTATACTGATTTCAGTGCTTCTGCAGTTTGTCTACATTGATAGTATTATGGTGATTAAAAAGCTTCATACCTTTGGAGCTGATTATACAAGTATGACCTTGCAAATATTTATAAGCATTGTACAGTATTCAATACAATGTCAGAGGGAGATCAAATGGTAGAGAATCTGCCTACAGCACACGCAAGACCCTAAGTTTGATCCCAGGAACATGGTCCCCGAGCCTCTGGGAATAGCCCTAGCAGCCCAAAAGTATCCCCAAGCATTGAGGCACGATTATATATTCTTCAATATATAATTTTTAAAGATACTCAAAACATCAGCAAGATTACCATCAGTTTTTTATTTGGCAGTACTAGACATACATCCATGTTACAGAGCTTATTTGGCCTAAAGTGCTATTTTTTTTCTGCTACTGTAGTGTTTCACTTTTACATTAAGTGCAACCTTTACATTTAGAAAACAGACACATTTACTAATATAAGCCAAGTAAAGTTAATATATAGTTGCTCTCAAAATAAGCAAAACAATAACATAATCACTAAGAAGAAGAGATGTCCTTATTTCCATTAGTCTAGGGTTATGTACAAAAATTTTTAAGTCTCCATACAGAGCTATTTTTAAATCTAATTAATCCAAGCAAAAAACCAAATGATTTAAATTCTATCTTACTTTTATAATTAAAACGCATACTCCAAACAATTTCCTAATGTGGTCCCATTACAATAAAATCAAATTTATGATCATAATGAAAAATTCCTGATTATGAAAGGTCACAGAGAAGTACATTCTAATGTTACTCTGACATCCCTATTTCATAGGCTTAAAGGAATGATAAAATAAATTCTTTTAGAATAATCACTTGCTAGGTGATTAAGTACAAAATGTTATCATAAGGCAATAAAAAGATTTTAAATATTTTTACAAGTTTATTAATTCAACACATTAATAAAATCACAGCAAAAGCTGCAAATAATGAATGCTACTGTAGGAAAGAAAAGTTGGAACAGAAAATAATATGAAAAAAAAGTGGCTTCTTTTTAAAAAGGTAATCTCATTTTGATATTTAATAGACATTCTTAGCTTTAGGGGAAAATATCCACTTCTTAAATATTAGCACAGAAAAGTGGAGAAACCAAAATAGAAAAAAGAAACAGAAATTACCCGAACATATTATCTTTGTTCCTCCCCAAAAAGAGAAGGAAAAAAGCCATTTTCACCAGATTCATATAAGGCCCTTTTATAATCTCCTTCAGGAAGGGATGGTGGGAAGCATGCGATGGTGACACTTGCCTGACAAAACCACAACAAGTGTTAAACAGGGGGTTGCCAAAAAAGACTCCGAAACAGCTTGATCATTTATTTTTTTAAGCATTACTTTAGCTGATTACCCAAATTTCAAGGCATGATGAAAGAATATTATGTCAAGGACTCAAAAGGGAGAACCAGCAGAATAAAGTATTATAGAATACAGGGTATAAGAAGAACGGTTTCTTAAAAAAATACAAGTCAAGTGTCTGTGGTTAAGAAACATTTTAGGTATGTATTTTCTTAAAAGGGTTGTTTCTTCCCTTATAATATACTTTCTATACTTATTGCCCTGAAACTCTATTTGGTCATTCTTGTCTCTTTTTGTCAAAGGCCACAAAGAAAGCATCTTGTCCAAGTAGAAGCTACTCAACTAGCCAGGAAACTAATCAGCTTCAAGCACTAACCTGATGAACAAATCTTCTGAATATGGCCAAATGTTTTTTTCTTAAGGTGAAACATAAAAGTGAAATGAAAAGCACCTTCTGGAAAGCCATTCATGAAACTAATTCACCAGAATTATCTCTTGTAGCAGCAACATTATTAAATAGTGCAACTCTTCAAAAATAGATTTCAAATGGTATCTTCTTAAAAAAAATGGTTTAGGATTACTTACAGCTTGGTTTATAAAAACCATAGTTTAAAACAGAGCCCTCCAAACAAGAGAGTTATAGACAAGTAACACTCTTGCTTATGTGGCAATGGGAATGTGTGTGTGTGCATGAGGTCCGGGGCACCTCAACAAAACACTAAAAATACAAAATACAAATGAAAACAAGCAACACAGAATGGACTTCTACAACTTTGATACTTTTAACAATATTCCTTTATCAGTCATGAATATTGAATAGCCAATTCTTGATACATATATCAAGAATATATGTAACCTGGACTGGAGAAATAGCTCGACAGGCACACATTCTATGCAGGAGTTCCTGGTTCCATCTCCAGCACCACATGGTCCTCTGAACATATCCAGGAGCAATCCCCAAGCACAGAGCCGAAGTATCCCCAAACCCTGTCAAGTGTGGCCTCCCCAAATACTTAAAAATAAAGCAAAATGTTTTAGTATTTAATGCTATAATCTATACGTTAGAGAACACAATATACGCAAACAACAGATATATTCTTTTCATGTCACATTTGTAACTAATATTTTATATTAGTATGGTACACACAAACTTAAAATCTTAAATAATTAAACTTCCCTTGCCCAACTTTTCACTTTCTATTACTTACAACCTAGGCACTTTACGCATGTTTTAAAAAATATATTTTAGATCCTTCTGAGTAACTCACTCCTAAAAGTAATACAGTTCACTTTAGGAGCAAACTCTATACATTTAATACTTAGCCAGTCACTCCAAATAAGTAATGTATGAGTTAGACATAAAATTAATACAACTCTGAAAATATCTAATATGCTCTGAAGAAACTTACCCATATGAACAAATAATTGTTCATCTATTTATCATAGAGTATATGAAACACAGTTCCAGACATTAAAAATATTTTGTTCTACTGTCAGAAGAAAAAAAACCTTCCTTAAAACATCTCCAAGATTCAAAATATGACTATTTTTAAAATATGGGCATAAAACAAATTTCTAGTGTGATAATTTCTCTATGAGAATAACTAAAACTTAGTTTTGCAGAAATAAAAAAAAGAAATTGTATTTTACTGTACCAAAACTAATATCTTTACATGTAGGAAGACGGTATCAAAATTATGCAAGGAATTTTTTAATTCACAGTTAATAAATGCCATTTTAAACAATCTATTCATTCAAGAGAAAACTGTTCTATTTAAATTTTTTTGTTTTAGTTTTGGGCCACACCCCGCTGTGCTCAGGACTACTCCTGGCTCTACTCAGGGATCATTCCTGGCAGAGCTTGGGGGACCCTCAAGGGTGCTGAGGATTGAGCCCAAGTCAGCCTCATGCAAGGCATGAGCTCTACCTGCTGTACTATTGCTCCAGCCCCTGAGAAGAATGTTCTCATCAATTAAAGAAAAAAAATTTCTTTAGACAATTATCAATTATGATCATAACAGTCATGTATTCTAGAAACTATAGTAAATCTAATACAAATTTATAACTTGTAAACTTCTCAGTGTCAATTCATTTAATTGTTTTATAGTGATAGTCAGCCATTACAATTTCTTTGATTCAAATACATAAGTAAATGCACAAGCAATAAAGTAAGCAGTACTAAACACCACTACTGCCTAAACCTGATTAAACAAACGAGTAACTTCACTATTTAAAATACATCTTCAGGCAAAGTTATATGTGTTGACATGAGGAGTAATATATTCTTACATGTGTGGGCCAAGAAGGTGGCTAAAGTGTACATTTTCAAGGTGCAAAGCTATTTTTATAACAGCTTTTGATGATGACACTGGACATTTCAGACAGTTTCAAGACAACAACTCAATGAACTCTTAAGTTCTGAACTAAATTCAAGAAATATTTCTATAAAATACACACTGATGACTTAAATTGTTAAAGATTGTAAAAAGCCGCTTTGGACACAATACACAGGAATTCAATGTCAGAATTTCTGTGTAAATACAGTACGTTCACACTCATCCTTTACCAGATATTTTTCCCTCCCTGAGTCCATATTCATCAATTCTGTTGATTTTGTAATAACTGTACAAAATCAATAGTTACCTTTAAACATCTCATAGCACTCCCGAATTCTATGACTCCTGTGGTACTTATTGTACTTTGGCTTCCACGAGGCCACCAGACATGACAGGACCCTGACTACTTATACAACTACTTGTATGCCGCAATGCATCGGCTCCAAGGTAGGCCACTAAAAGCTCAGTGCGACGATTGAGTAGCTGCAGGAGGTCCTCAGCCAAAGTCTCTATACTGGAGTAGCGTACCTTCTCGAAGTCAAAAATGTCTTTGAGAAAAAAAACAACTTGATTCTGGAAAATAAACATAAGAATATTGGTATTTAGCCCAATATTACAGTAAGTTTAAATAGTAATCAATACGCATCAAACATTGAATTAGGAGTTAGGAGGAGGAAGTTACAATATAGTTTCAAATCTCACTGAAAAAGAACCTTTCCTGGGTCTCCTTTTCTTTTTCTGTTAAATAAGAGATAATACTAACTCTTTTACTACAAGGTTGATGTGATGATCAAACATTAATGACGATAAACTATGAGAAAAGCCTGTAAGCACTAAAACAATATTAAAATGTAAGAAACTATTACTAGTCCTATCCTAGTAATATTTTTAACATTATGTCTAAGTATTGCCCTTGCCTCATGACAGAAAAGTAAATGACTTTCAATAATTGTAATCTATACATTTTATTTTTATTTATTTTATTTATTAGTGAATTACCGTGAGGTACTATTACAGACTTACAAACATTCATGTTTGCATTTCAGTCATACAATGATCAGGTACCCATCCCTCCACCAGTGCCCATTCTCTACCACCAATGATCCCAGTGTCCCTCCCACCACCCCCACGCCATCCTTCTCCCCACCCCGCCTCTGTGGCAGGGCATTCCCTTTTTATTCTCTCTCTCCTTTAATCTATACATTTTAAACACCTATTTTTCATATATCAAAAAATATAACAGGAGGCCAGAGAGCTAGTGCTCTGGGTAGAGGGCATGCTTTGCATGAGGAAGGCCTCAGTCCAATCCTTAGCAATGTATAAATCCCTGAGCACATATCCAGGAAGTGCCCCTGAGTAAACTGGGTATAACCCCAAACAAAAACAAACCAGAAAACCTGAAAAATAAGAAAATACTTTCAGATCTCAAATCTATGGAAGATCACGAAGGATGTTTCACTTTAGTAATTTAATGCTTATACTGAACATTTTAAGTAAACGGTATATTATTAAGCATCAAGTCTCAACTTAATGGCTATTATGCTAGAATGGAAGGGAAAAAAATTTCAGAAAACAAACCTAGGGATTATTTAATTTCTATACCATGAAAATCCAATGTTAAGAAGTCCCTAAAAGGCATAGGGAGCAGATTCACTGGTGTTTATATAAGGGAAGACTGTTAGCTACCAACCTGCTACACCCACTCATTTTGTAGATGAAAAGGAGAAAAAGACATGGCCCAGAGTCATACTGTGCATTTATGAGAAACTTAATTTCTATGTCAATTTTTTCCCACTAAACACATACCTTATATTTGGAAAGTCAAGAAAACTTGTCAAAAAATTAATGAATTTATAGGGCTGGAGCGATACAGCAGGTAGGGTTCTTGCGGCCAACCTGAGTTCAATCCCCAGTAATCTATATGGTCCCTTGAGACCCCAGGAGCAAGCCCTGAGCACTGCTGGATATAGCCCAAATACAAAACAAATTAAAAAATAATGAATTAGGGGTGGACTCCATTCTGGAGTTGCCTACATACTACCTTGGAGGGTACAATCTCAATATGCTCCCACTCCTCTCATATTTTCTAAATAAAACTATTTAACACACAAACACACACTGAATTTTAAGCAAAGTTTTGAAAAAAGACCATTTCCCAGATAGTACAAAACATAATTTGGGAGGCAGAGGGTGGGGCAGAAATAGGGGACTCGTGGCTGGTGCTCAGGAAAGTTATGGTTTCTGGAGACTGAACTGAGGGCCTAGCAAATACAAGGCATGTGCTCTAGCCACACCAAACAGTGATTTGCAGTCTTAGATTTTTGCTTGTTTGCTTTTTAATGGAAGGGTGTTGAAGTTAACAATTTCTTAACTAGCCAAGTGTCTGAGAGGTACTCATACATGCAAAGCATGCTACTGCTGAACCATATCCCAAGTCCTAATGTAAGATTTCTAAATGAAGTAGAGAAATAAATGCCCAAAACAAATGCCCAAAACATCAAAAACTCTCAAATTCATACTTGACTATGCTTATTTTCATTTGCTTCTTGAAACTCGGCCTAAATTCAAAACTATTAAATAGTGAGATTTCTTCCGGCACTGTGCCAGGTTAAAAAAGAAAAATCTGCAATGAGCTGTAACTTGTATTTTGGCAAATTTTAACTGCTGACACTAAAATATAACTATAACTCCCCTACTTATTTCTCACAATGTGGATTTTATCATACATATTACCTAGATCCAGAATTTATTTCTAAACTGCTACATGTGCAAAAAAAGCAGTTATTTTTCTTAAATTTCAAAAGTGCCCAGCCATGAAGAAAAAAACTGTCTACAGCAATTTGACTGTACCACAAGAAAATATAATAGCATGCAAGCATTATAGAAGGCAATGAAACAGTGATAGGCCACGTGACTTAACTCCAGAACAAAGCAACAAATCCATATAACTGTGTTCCACAGACCTTTTAAGACTGATTTGGGTAACTTATAATTTTATTCTTTCTTCTACCAAAATACAATCTTATTCTAAACTTTTCACTTTAGTAAACAAAGTTGAATGACTTAACATACCTTAAAGAAGCAACATAAATCATAGAGAGAATTTCTAGGACCCAAAAAGCCCCAGGCTAGGATAGGGCTGATGTGCTCACAAATGGCATAAAAATGGGCAAAAAATCCATCTGGAATCTATTGGGAAGGAAAGAAAAATCAAGTTATTTTTACATTCTGGTTTATGCTTCTTCTAACGGAGAAACTGAAATTACTATCCATCATGTGATCAGTTCTTCTTGATGACAGACCAAAAAGTCAATGATGAGCAGCCTCTTAAAGAAAGCTCTTGAACTTGTAAGTAACTTTGAGCCTACCAGTAACTTTTAGAGTCACAGAACTGACTTGTGTAAATTTCATTTCCCAGACAATAGCTTGAAATGTGCTGAGAAATGTTATTTCTTAAAGGCATTTTCACCTCATAAAAATACTTCATTAAAGAAAATCATATCATTGCTATAACCAAGCAGTAACAAGAATGTTATGACACTCCTTAGCTGTACACTTTATAAAGAATTAACTCGACTCCACGATTTCAGGTATTAAAATGCTTTATTCGGTCACTTAATTATCTAAGAAGACGAAAATGGTTTTTAAATTAGCAGACACAAAAATATGCTTACTTGACTTCTTTTAGTTAAAGAGACAAACATTAGTTAATTATTTTGTCTCTTATGAAATAGCAATAGAGGGGTCAGAGAGATAGTACAGTGAGTAAGGCTCTTGCTTTTCAAGTGCCTGATAGGGGTTCAATACCTAGGACCCGATACAGTTCCCTAACACCTGGCCAGGAGTGATCCCTTAGCACAGAGCCAGGAGCAAGCCCTGAGCATAGTTGGGTGTGCACAACCAAAACAAAACAAATAAATAAACAGCAACACCAAAAAAGAAATAGGGACTCCGGAACAATAGTAAAGACCGTAGGGCATTTGTTTGCTTTCACATGGCCAACTGGGGTTCAATCCCTGGCATCACATGTGGTATCCCAAGCACCACTAGGGGTGATTCCAAAGCACAGAGCTAGAAGTAACCCTGAGTATCACTGAGTGTGGTTTAAACCCCCTCCCCCGAAAAAAGAATTTAATAATGCTATATTTCCTTTGTTAAATAACCCTGTGTGAGGGACCAGGGAAAAAGCACAGACATTAGAGCACAAGTAAGACATTAAACCCAGATTTTGATACCAGGCACCAAAAGGCTTCTATGCACTGCCAGGAATAGCCTGGAGGCCCCTGAGCATCACTGGGTAAGGCCCCAGAGATCCCCACCCACAACCCAGCACTCAGGGCCTGAGCAACACTGCACAATCACGCCCTACCAGCTGGCCAACCAACCATCGCCAGGAGTGGCCCCTGGGCTTCAAAAACACTGCTTGGGAACCCTCTCAAAACAAAAAATACAGACATCCTCTGAGATTTACCATAGAGCATTCACTGGGGAGAAGTATGCTCTAAGCTTAGTCTGAGAAGGGTTATTTTCTATTTTATAGACTCCAAGAGATCTTTAAAGTCTCAGCTTAAAAAATGCACTATAGGAGCAAGAGACATAATACAGCCAATAAGACCTTTGTCTCCTTGGCACCCACTGGGTGGGGCTCCCAAATCACCACACACACACACACAATCAAACAAAAAAAACAAAACAAAACAAAACAAAAAGTCCAGGGTATTTGAGTTCATTTAAACAAGAATTATAAAAATATGCAGTCTCCAGAATTGTTTTTAACAAGCACTTTCTAAAGACACTTTAAAAATTGCATTCCAGAAACACTGTTTGGCAATACTATCTCACAATTATTGTAAGATTCAAAATTTGAAGTACTAGGACACTAATATAATATGCAACATTTATATAATATGTGATGCCAAGCACTACTGTATGCATTTTATATTTAATTCCCCAAAACCTCATGAGGCAAATGCTCTGCTTTTTCAGAGACGAGGCAATTAAGGCATAAAGAATAAAGCAACTTGCTTGAGATACTGGCTTTGAAAACAGACTGCAGTAGGTGAGATGTTCTAGAAGGGTGGGGCTTGGAGGGGAGACTAAAAAGCCAAGACTTTTGGCGGGTACGGTGCTTGGCTGAATGAAGTGGTATTAGAATCAAATAATTTCTCAATTAAATTACAGTGGAACCCACTGTATGAAACCTGTGCTTTCCCACTTAGCAGAAATCCCATGTATGCGTCAACACTTGGAATACAGAATTAATTAGAAAGTTAAAGAGGAAAAAGTAATTTTTTTTTTTTAAAGGAGAAGCCAACCCAGTTCTCACAGGTCACTCCTCTAGCTTGAGGGAAGTCCTAGCAGCTGTCATGTTCACCCCACTCCCCTCTCAGATATTTCTTGGACAGAAACCTCAATTAACTTACAAACTTCAAGACATAATAAATTTTACCTTCATCTGCTGCTTTTTCTGTTTCAGCACTGACCAACAACTTGAAGCCACAGCCTAAATATACGCAATGGAAATAAAGCAAAATTAAATGTATAAATATATACAACTTTCTATCTAGACTTATATTTTTTACAAACTCAGTTTATAGTCTAAACTGTTCAGTTACTCATAACCAGGCAATGCATTTTGATTTTATAAAGTTTAAAGTTAAAACAAAGTCACTGAAAAAAAAATGTGTAACTTTGGTACCAAGAACTTGGTAATTATACTTTTATACTCAGTTCTTAAATTCTGTTTCTACAAGAAAAGAGAAGACATACGTATGCACATAACATGTGCATAATATATCCATAATAATGTAAAAACAGTAAACAATATTTTTCTCCAATACATAAACTGCTGGGAATAGTTCTGGAAAGAGCCAACAGTTTTTGTCGTTACTGCTGTTTCTCAGTGCTGGAGGTCAAACTCATAGCCTCAAAACATGCAAGGCAATTATTCTGAGGTATATCCCTGGCTAGAAGTAACAGTTTTATTTAAATAAAGAACTAAGAAAACCAATCGTCACAAAAGGGGTAAAATCACATTTGGTGGATCAGAATGAAATCTGACTTTACTCTGGCACAAACCAACTCTGATCAAGGGTCCAGGTCACTTTACCACATCAGCTACAGAAATAGAGAACATCCCTCTCTTATGGTTAAAGCATACTTAAGAGAGAAAAGCAGACTTACTAAAAATGCCTTAAAATTTAGAATCAGGAATTTCAAGGACAATTATGAAACAGTCAACTAGAACATTTAAAAAAAACGACATTCAAACTTTGTCATGACTATCTATTCCTCTATACACTTAATTAAAATTGAAAAACACCAAATAGAAATTTAAGAACAAAAGGCAGAAACAACATAAAGCTCAGAACATAATTTAACCTGTTATTATCACAACCCTAATTTCTGAGTATATTTGGGAACATGAATCTCTAAATTTTCCTCCTAAAAAAACACGTTATCTTTTCAGTGCAAGTCCTATCATGCATTTTGGTCGTAGAGCCAGTTCAGTTACAGAGTATTTTCTTTGTTAGGATTGAACTAGTAGGAAATCAGAGTCGTTTCTGAAATCTAAAGAAGCAGTGAATGGGGTCCTTCGGACCCCGTCATTAACAAGCACTAATTAAAAAAAGTCTCTAAATGATAATTTTATTGGAAGATGCTGTGTATCACAAACATTTGATTCCAATGTTAATTAGCTTAGTTTTGACATTGGTTATTTTATAGAGATATATATGTAAATTTAAAAAATCCAGATCTAACCATTTTTTTATCAAATGTTAATAATAGAGAGATAAACCATTACTTACGGTTTCTTTGAAAGAGGAGTTTAGCCAGCGATTATTTACTATATTTTGTATAGATGAGGGTGGGTTTTCTAAATCTTCAAAGGAATCCATTAATATAAAATCCAGAACAACATCATAAAAATTAAGATTTTTCACCTAAGTGAAAATGAGTCAAAACCATAAATTATTATGATATATCATTAAATTATTACTACAGAGAGGAAATAAAGCTAGGGTCTCATATTTTGACTTTTGTGTTTTTGGTGTTGGGGGTCACACCCAGTGGAGTTTGTGGGCCACTCCCAGCAATGTGCTGGGCAAAGAGGTCAATTTTCGTGATGCCCTGTAAAACACATGGTCTCAGGGACTGAATCCAGGATTTCTGCATGCAAAGCAGGTGCTCTAGTTCTCTAAGCTATCTCCCTGGCCCTCTCCCCAACTTATTCTTTAAACTTCTTGTTACAACAAAGCATCTTATTTCATTATTTATTTATTTATTTATTTTTGGCTTTTTGGCCTTTTGGATCAGTCACACCCGGCAATGCTCAGGGATCATTCCTGGCTTGGCACTCAGGAATTACTCTGGCAATGCTCAGGGGTCATATGGCATGCCGGGGATCAAACCCAGTCGGCCATGTGCAAGGCAAATGCCCAAACCGCTGTGCGATCGCTCCGATCCCAACCAAGTATTTTAGACACATCATCTATTCTCTAGTTTAGTGCTCAAATCAGCAATTTTTTCCTAGGAGTTCTAGCTCTTTTTTCTTAGAAGCCAAGATCTGAATACCAAAAGCTACAGAGGCAGGGTAGGATGGGGGGATGGGGGATGGGGGGTGGGAGGGATATTGGGATCCGTGGTGGTGGGAAATGGGCACTGGTGGAAGGATGGGTATTTGATCATTGTATAATTGGAACCCAAGCACAAAAATTTGTAAGTCTACAACTGTACCTCATGGTGTTTCACTAATAAAAATTAAAAAAAAAAAAGCTATTCCTTTGAAGGCGCTGCTTCAACAGAGCCATGAAGAATGTCCATGTTACATATATGCAAAAGTCTGAGAGGGCTCTCAAGCAGTGCTCAGGAGGTCTGGGGGCCCCACCAGCACTTCCCCTTCCCTGCCAGCCACATCAGTTGCTCAAGCAATGGTCCCCCAGATGAGACTGCTGCTCAGGCCCTGTGATGCTGGTAATTATTCAGGCCACGGCTGCAGTGCTGTGGGCCTCCAAGGTTGAACTCAGCAATGCTTGGAGGACCATGTGTTCTCAGGAATGAAACCCGAAACCCAAAACGGACACATGCCAGACATGTACCCCAACCTCTGTACCATCTCCAAGCCCCATATGCAAACCTTTCATCTATTTTTTCATTTCTGTATATTTATCACAAACTGTGAATTCATGCTGATGGAAACAATTCTGATCCTAGTTTTTTAATAGCTGCTTCTCTGATTATTCTCAATATATTTAATTTATTTGATCCTGTGTATGTAACTTAACTAATCCCTGGCCTTACTGAGCTGCCCACGGTCCCATCTGGAAATGCCCTTGCACAGGGCATTGTGACCACCTTGCCAAAGCCTGTTCACTGATTTTCAGAGGAAAATAAAGAAGGAAAGATAAAGGGAAAGCAGAAGATAAAGGAAGAAATTCAAAAGACAATTATTTGTAACTATTGCCCCAATGTATTAATGCAGTCTTTTCTATTGTTTATGGCTCTGTCATAACACACAATTGGTTTTACTGTCATTTAACAAGAATCAGGAAATAGTGACCTGAAATGACGTGAACATTACATGTAAATAAAAAGGGAAATATGGGGGTTGGAACAATAGTACAGATAGTAGGACACTTGCCTTGCACACAGCCAACCCGGGTTTGGTCCCCAGCATCCCATATAGTTCCCCAAGCACCCACCAAGAGTAATTCCTGAGTTCAGAACCAGGAGTTAGCCCTGAGCATCACTGAATGTGGCCTCAAAACCAAACCAAAAGAACAAAAGGAGGGAGTCCATTTTTTGAAAAATAAACTTACTCCTCTAGCCGCAAGCTCCATTTCAGTACTATCCCAATGATCAGTCTGCTCCAAAAAATAGATCATCTCATCAAAAACATCTTCAAACTTCTTTGGATTCTGTGGAAGAAAACAAATTTTAATCCTATACTCTAAAACAAAGCTAAAGACTCTTCTGGAGAGTCTTTAGATCATCAGTCTATTAAGTAACTACATGTAAATATATGGTCAAGGTATGTTATATTCATCTGGGTTACTATTTTGTGTTTCCCCACTCACGAAGTACAATCTTGAGGAACTGCAACTAAAGTGTGTGCCCCAGCTGCAACCAAGTGTGCGAGTCTGGGACCAAAATGTATATGAACATCACAACTGCACTGCACTGCACTGCACTGTCCTCCTGTTGTTCATCAATTTGCTCAAGCGGGCCCAGTAACGTCTCCATTGTGAGACTACTTGTAACTGTGTATGTTATATCGAATATGTCACGGGGAGTTTGCCAGGCTTTGCTGTGCAGGCGAGATACTCTCGGTAGCATCACAACAAAGACTGAAATTCCCAACAGCATGTGTGCGAGTACCACAAAGGAGTGTGTGACCCTCCAGCGTGTGTTACAATCAGAGAATGAGCATCACAACCAAAATGTACAATTGTTGATCATGGCAACAGCAACAACAGCAAAACAGGAAGGAAGGGGAGAGAGGGATAGAGGGACGGAGAGAGGGAGGGAGAGAAGGAAGGCAGGAAGGCAGGAAGGCAGGCAGGCAGGCGGGAGGGAGGGAGGGAGGAAGGGAAGGAAGGGGGGAAGGAGGGAAGGAGGGAAGGAGGGAAGGGAGGGAGGGAGAAAGGGAGGGAGGGAGAAAGGGAGGGAGGGAGGGAGAAAAGGAGGGAAGGGAGAGAGAGGGAAGGAGGAAGAAAGATGGAAGGAAGAAGGCAGGCATGCAGGCATGCAGGCAGGCCTGGTTAGAAGCCAGGGATGTGGTTGAGGTAATGGCATGTGGCTTGTATGCATGAGGGCCTGGTCATATATCTCCCACTCTCTCCCCCCTATAATAATAATAAAAGTAGCAACAATAAATGTTACTAAATATCACAAGAAAACTGCCTAGTATTTAAATATGTATAATTATTTAGATTATCCCATAAAATGAAAATTCAGTATGTGATACTTGTCAAGCAGTTCTAGGAATCTCAAAATCATCAGGCCTGTCTGCCAGGGGAAGGTCAAGAAAGCAACTTGATCAAAATATTACATGGACTTTATACATAGAAAATAAATCAATCCAAACAGATAACAATGTCATTAGGTTATTTTTACTATATGAAACTTATCAACAATCTAGAATTATTTTTTTGCTTTTGGGCTACACCTTGCTGTGCTCAGGGGTGACCCCTAGGAATTCTCATGACACCCCATGCAGTAGCAGGGATCAAATCAGGGTGATGACATGCAAGGCAAGAATTTAACCTGGGTACTCTTTCTCTGGCCTCATATAAAACCATTTTCTTGAATTAAAAATTCAATTAATTTTAATCTCAATTTAGTTCACCTGAAATAACAACCATCAAAACATGCCATGCCAACAAAACCATACCTTTCGTGCTTTCACAATTAACGCTGATAAAATTTTCCTTCCACTCTCAGCAAGGAATATCCTGTTAGCTGTTTCTGAAAGAATTACCTGAAAAAATAAATCCATACCCAAACAAAAGAAAAAAGAGAAGCCCTGTAAATAATCTGATTAGGCTCTGGATCTTAGAACACACATGTATACATAAACAACCTGAATGAGTCTATGTCGCACTGGTTCAGGCAGGCAGGCCACAAAGCCCTAATTTATGAAAACAATGAGAACTCTTAAAACCTATAATAGAAAGAGATAAACCTGAACTGAAATTCTGTTCAACTTAATATTAGTAATTCAATAAAAAGTCATAGAATCCCAAAAGAAGACAGAGGTAATTTTGTTCCTAGATGACCTCATTTCATGTTAGAAAACACATGACTTTAGAATTGATTTGAAGGGAAAAGAAGTTAGAATACATGCTGATTGATAATAAGGAAGCTTTTTAAACATGACATCTTTACATAACTGCAACATCAAATATCCTATCCCTCACTTGCTTTTTGGGTCACACCCAGAGTTGCATAGGTGTTACTCCTGGCTCATGCACTCAGGAATTACTCCTGGCTGTGCTTGAGGGATGCTGGAAATCGAACCCAGGTTGGCTGCATGCAAGGCAAACACCCTACCTGCTGTGCTATTGCTCCAGGCCCCCTCATTTGCTTTTCAAACTTATGTTCTTCCCTGGACGTGTATCTCACTTGCTCATCTCTATGTTTCTTTTCTGGCTTTTCCTTTCTGCAAAGCACATGTTTCCACTCTTTCTCTTCCCTCTCATCTTATATCAATAAAAACTACCTTGCCACTGGGCTGGAGAGATAGTACAGTGGGTAGGGCACTTGTCTTGCATGAACCAGGTCAATCCCCAGCATCCCATATGATCCCCCGAACACTGCCAGGAGTAATTCCTGAATACAGAGTAATTCCTGAATACAGAGTAATTCCTGAATACAGAATCCCTGAGCACTGCTGGGTGTGGCACAAAAACCAAACAAAACCAAAACAATACAAAACAAAACAAAAAACAAGAAACAAAACCCAAAAACCCAACTATTCTGCTTCAAGGGCTGGAGCAATAGCACAGCGGATAGGGCGTTTGCCTTGCAAGTGGCCAACCCGGGTTAGATTCCCAGCATCTCATATGGTCCCCTGAGCACCACCAGGAGAAATTCCTGAGTGTAGAGCCAGGAGTAACCCCTGAGCATCGTCAGGTGCGACCAAAAAAGAAAAAAATACCAACTATTTTGCTTCTTTAAAAAAACAAAAAGAAAGAAAGAAAGAAAGAAAGAAAGAAAGGAAGGAAGGAAGGAAGGAAGGAAGGAAATATTCAGTTCCAACAAAATGTGGACTCCTGGGAAGCCACAGGTAAGGATAGTGACAATGAAGGGATACAAGTAGACACTGAAAAAAAAAAACTTAGCAGGCTTTCTATTGTCATTAGGAGGAAAATGGATAAGGAAGAGCAGAGAGCTGTTCTATTGGTATGCAGCCGAACTCAACAGGACGAGGGTGGAAATGAGTAGCTTGGTGAAGCCACTTAATATTAAGATATTACCTGAAAAGCCTGTCGAATGCAGTGAAGTTTGGCAAGAAAATCACTGTCACCCAGACATTCCAACATCTCAGTCCTAGGCCATAAACAAGGGAGACGATTACTAAGCTGCACTCACCACAAAGCCCACTACAAATCAGGATGCATGGAAGGCTGAACTTCAGGACCTTAATATGAAACACATGTCAACTCAACATTGACAAATAGATTAAAAGCATTAAAAACTAAAGCACTGTTTCCCCGTCTCATAAATATGCAAAAATTCCACACAAACATAGCAAGAATACATTAATACTTGTCATAAACAAGCAAAATTGCAGTGATACCTAAGCACCCTTGAGTAAATTTTTCCTTCTTCAACTAAATGCATGGCTTCTTCGTAAAAAGGGCAGTGGCAGAGAGACTCCAGGCTGTAGGGATGCCGCACTTCTCTGTGTTCTGCAAGCTGAGAATACACGGCATTAAAACAGACCACAAGAAAAAAAAGTTGCCTACCATAGAGGCAGGCCGCAGAGAGGGAGGGAAATGGGTCACTGGTGGTGGAAACTATATATGATAGAAAATAGAATTTGGCTAAGACCAAAATACGATACATTTTATGAAACTGGAAAAATCAATCACTAAAATCTTACAGGTAGTAAAGCAAATTAAAACTAGTTTGGGAGGCGGGGCGCTGGAGAGATAGTACAATAGGTAGGACACTTTCCTCTAAAAGCAAAAACAAATAAAAACAACAAAAATAAGTTTGGGGCTAAAGTGATGGTGCTGAAGGTGCATATAGCTAAGGACATGACAATGGTTCAAAGCCTGGCACCACATATAGTCCCGTGAGCAGCACTCAGGTGTGGCAAAAAAGAAACCCTAAACCAACTATAGTTCACTTTCATCCCAGCTATTTAAATCCATGGGGTGCACAGAAAAGCAGCTCACAAAAAAAAAAAACAAACCTGAAGATAAAGTCTTGGGGGAAAAAACAGAATTTTTCCATTCAAAGAATGCTTAAAATCCAAAGTATTATAATTAGCAATTGGGAACAAAATAAAACTTACCACACAAACACTGAAGTAATTTCAATTTGGCAAATTCTAAGAATCTTTTAAAAATTTATTTTGATTGAAGCACTGTGATTTACAAAGTTATTCATGATTGAGTTTCAGGCATACCATGTTCCATCACCAATCACTCTACCAGTGTCCTCTTCCTCTACCAGTGACCCATTTCCCTCCCACCTTGCAGCCTGCCTCTACAGTAGGCAACTCCCCCCCCCCCCACTTTTAGACACTGTGGCTTACAATACTGATTACTGATTACTGATATGATTTCTATTTCTTTTGTTTTGTTTTGTTTTGGGGTCACGCCTAGCAAAGTTCAGGTTTACTCCTGGCTCTGAACTCAGTATTACTCCTGGTAATACTGTGGTGGGAGTGGCAGGACCATATGGGATGCCAGGGATTGAACCTGGCTTGGCAGCATGCAAGGCAAGTGCCCTACCCACTGTACTATCTCTCTGACCCTGACATGATTTCATAAATACACTTTACTACCTTCCCATATCCCTTCCTTCTCCCGAATGATCCCTTCTCTTCACCACTGTCATTGTGCCCCCCTCCTTCTCCTATTCACCTGTCCCCCACCCTGTGCAATGCTTTCTACTGAAGACCAGTTCTTCATTTCTATTGTCTTTGGACATTTGTTCTTCATTTCTATTGTCCTTGGACATTTGTTATTTCCCTAGTCTTTCTTTCCATCCCACACATGAGAGAGATCCATCTCTGTCTGTCCCTCTTCCTCTGACTTAATTGCCTCAGAATGATACTCTCCAGATCCATCCGCATAGCAGCAAATTGCTTGACTTTCATCTTTTCTTACAGTCACCTAGTATTCCATTGTGTGTACCGTAGTTTACCCACTCATCTGTTCTTGGGCACCTGGGTTTTGCCAGATTTTGTTTCTTGTGAATAAGGTGCAGAAATATTTTCTGCATTGTGTTTTTGGGCCCCTGGCGTATTTTCCAAGAAATGGAATTGCTGGATCATATATATGGTAGGTCCATTCCTAGTATTTTAAGGAGTGTCTGAAAATGTTTTCCTCACTTTTTTTAATTAAAAATTTTCTGTTGTTGTTTTGGGGTCACACCCAGAGGTGCTCAGGGGCGATTCCTGGCTCTGCACTCAGGAATTACTCCTGGTGGTGCTTGGGGACCATATGGGATGCCAGGGATTGAACCTGGGTTGGTCATGTGCAAAGCAAATGCCCTATCCGCTGTACTATCGCTCCAGCCCCACAAATTCTTTATTTGGGTAGAATGCACATGCAGTGCTGCTCCAGGTTTACCTCTGGGTCAGCATTCAGGATTTATTCTTAGTAGTGCTTGGAGGACCATATTGGACACTGGAGATTCAACCAGGGTCAAATGAGTGCAAGGCAAGGACCCTACCCACTGTATTGTTCCAGCCCCACTTTTATTTCTTTTTTATGGGTATAATCATATTATTTGGTCGGCAAGCTACTGAGAGTATTCGATATGCCAGACACAGTAACAACAAAGTCTCCAATGGAGACGTTACTGGGCCCGCTCGAGCAAATCGACGATCAACGGGAGGGCCTTTACCTTTACCTTACCTTTTTTTCCTTAGAAAAATCCGTTTTGATTTATTTTAATTTCTGCACAGCAGGTAGGGCATTTGCCTTGCATGCGTCCAACCCAGGTTCGATTCCTCTGTCCCTCTCGGAGAGCCCAGGAAGCTACCGAGATTATCCCACCCACACAGCAAAGCCTGGCAAGTTACCCGTGACATATTCTATATGCCAAAAACAGTAACAAGTCTCATAATGGAGATGTTACTGGTGCCTGCTCGAGCAAATCGATGAACAATGGGAGGACAGTGCTACAGTGCAGAGCAATTTCTGAATGTTTTGAGTTTATTGTTTTGGTTTTTTTTTAACTTTTTTTTTTTTTTTTTATGCTCAGGTCTTACTCCTGGCTCTACACTCAGGAATTACTCCTGGCAGTGCTAGGGAAATTATAGGGGATGCTGGGAATCAAACCTGTGTTGACAACACGCAAGGCAACCATCCTACCCACTGTGCTATCACTCCGGCCCTGTTTCGAGTTTTTTTCTTCTTCTTGATTATGATTACTTTCCATTTTAAAGTATAGTGGTCTGAGGATATTTGGCATGGTTTTCATCTTGCTGGGTTTTGGACTAATGCTTTGTGACCCAGCATGTGTTCTATCTTGAAGAATGTCCCATGTGCACTGGAGGAAACTGTGTACTTAACTTCTGGGAGATGGAGGGCCCTATACATGTTTGCTAGGTCTATCTCTTTCATTTCTCCCTTCAAGGCTAGTGTTTCCATGTTGAATTCTTGTCTAGTTGATCTATCAGTGAGAGAGGAGTGTTTAAGTCTACTACAAGTATTGTACTGCTTTCAATATTTTCATTTCGCTCTATAAGCAATTGTTTTCAAAGGCCCATAATTAGGTGTATAGGTATTTACGAGTGTGGGCTCTTGATGCAGAAATCCTTTAATCATTAATAAATGACCAACCCTGTCCTTATAGTCTTTGAAAATTTGAAGTCTGGCGCTAGACAAACAGTTCAGCGTGTAGGACACATGTGGCCAACCTGGATTCAGTCCCTGGGATCCCATTTGGTCCCCCAAGCACTCCCATGAGTAATTCCTGAGTGCAGAGCCAGGAATAAACCTTGAGCATTTGGTGTGGCCCCCAAAATAAAACAAATAAATAAAATTTGAAGTCTATGTTTTCTGATAATCAAATATAGGCTCTCCGCACTTCTTAAGAAAACTGTATGCCTGTAAGATTGTTTTCTAGCCTTTAACTTTACCCTGATTATTCAGACCTGTCTCTTGATGGCAGCAGATAGCTGGATTCAGTTTTCTGATCCATTCTGCCACTCAATATCTTTTGATTGGTGATATGAAGCAGAAACATTGGATGAGATTATTGAGAAAAAGAAATTGCTGACATTTTTTATTGCCATCATTTTTAGAAGTTATGCATGTTTGTGAATTTTTATCTTTTACAGAAGCTTTTCAATGCTCTTGCAAAACTAATTTCAAGGTTATGAAGTTTGTCCATGAAGTTTTGTCCATGGAGTTTTGCAACATTAACTTAAACTGTTGTTTGTCCATGAAGTTTTGTACATCACTTTAAACTGAAAGATGAGACAGCCAGATAGCATATTCTTGGTGAGCTGTTCACTTCACAGAGGTTTTTGTTTTTTAACTATATTCCCACCATTTTCTTCTGTAGAGTCTCATTTAAGTGCTTGAATCTGATGGAAGTTTCTTTGTATGAGTTTCTTCTTGGAATGTTCTTGCTTTTGTTTTCAAAATTCTGTCTCTGGCTTTTGGCATTCCGATTACAACACGTCTTGGAGTTTTCTGTTTGTGCTTATTTTGTTTTAGTTTTGCTTGGGGGCCATACCTGGTGATGCTCAGGGGTTACTCCTGGCTGAGCACTCAGATCATTACTTCTGGTAGTGTTCGGGGGACCATAAGGGATACCAGGGATCAAACCCGGGTCAGCAGCATGCAAGGCAAGCACCCAAATGCTGTGCTATCTCTCTAGTCTCTATTTATGTCCATTGTGCCTGGGATTTTTTGGGCCTCTTGAATCTAGGTACCTGCACTCCTTAATTCTAGATAATTCTTATCTATATCTTCTTTTGACTAATCAGTTACCAAATTCACCTTCCAGTTCCTTAGGGACTCAGACAATTCCTATAATGTTCTTCTAAAATTCATCCCACAGTTCTCTGGTGAGTTGTACATTTCTTTTCAGACATTTTCCCCTCTTCTGTTATTTCTTAGAAGATTCCTGCTTCTCACCAAACTTTTCCCTCAATTGCTGTTACTCTGCTGCTGAAACTTCCATTTTTTTAATATCACCTACCCTACTCTTCAGTTTTGTTACTTCTGTTTGTAATTTTCTCATTTCCACCCTCATATTTTCTTGTATGCACAGCCAGAAGTAGCCTTTAACCACTTCTGGGATCAGCAGTTTCACATGATTGTATTTGTATCTAACTGGATTTTCTCTGCCTGAGTAGTTATATATCACATATGTTTTTCTTACTACAAAATTACAACAACCATACCTTCTATAATAAGCTTTCCATACATTCTTTTCATGACATATGTTTCCATGCCATTAAAAATGACTGAGTGCCAGGGAGATAGCTCAAAGGGGTGGAGTGCATTCCCTGGATTCATGAGAACCCATGTGAGATGCCCAGCACTGCATGGCCTCCAGTACTAGTGGATGTGACCCACAGAGTTGGGCCTAAAATTTTCAAGTTCCTGAGCAAGGTTGGGAGCATACCCTGACTCCAATCGTTGAAACCAATGTATTTTTGACTGTATGTATTTACATAAATATATAATTTATGTATTTATGTAATAATATACAAATTTACTACATAAATTGAAAACATATGAAATGTATTTAAGACTTATTTCTTGTTCTTTTTTTAAAATTTTTTATTAGTGAATCACCATGAGGTACTGTTATATACATACCAATGTTCGTGTCTGCGATTCAGTCATACAATGATAGGTTACCCATCCCTCCACCAGTGCCCATTCTTCACCACCAATGATCTCAGTATCCTTCCCACCTCCCTCCCCCTCTTCCTCCTCACTCCGTCTCATGGCAGGGTATTCCCTTTTGTTCTCTCTCTCCTTCTGGGTATTGTGGTTTGCAATAGAGGTATCGAGTGGCCATCATGTTCAGTCTATAGTCTATTTTCGGCAGGTAGCAACCACACCGAGCTACCAACCCGAGTGGGTCCTCCCAGCACCCTTTATTGGTGTTCCCTTCTCTGTCTGAGCTGTCTTTTTCTCCAGCATGTGAGGCCGATTTCCAAGCTGTAGGGCAAACCTCCTGGTCCTTATTGCTACTATTCTTGGGTGTTAGTTTCCTATTCTGTTACTATATATTCCACAGATGAGTGCAATCTTTCTATGTCTGTCCCCCTTTTTCTGACTCATTTCACTTAACAGGATACTTTCCATGTTGATCCACTTATATGAAAATTACATGACTTCATCTTTTCTAACAGCTATATAGTATTCCACTGTGTAGATGTAACAGAGTTTCCTTAACCAGTCACCTGTTCTGGGGCACTCAGGTTTTTTCCAGATTTTGGCTTCTGTAAACAGTGCAGCAATGAACTAGACAAGTGAAGATGTCATTTCTACTATACATTTTTTGCCTTTCCAGGGTATATTCCCAGAAGTGGTATTGCTGGGTCAAATGGGAGCTCAATTTCTAATTTTTTGAGAAGTGTCCATACTGTTTTCCAAAAGGGCTGAACCAGTCAGCATTCCCACCAGCAGTGAAGGAGAATCCCTTTCTCCTCACATCCATGCCAACACTGGTTGCTTTTGTTCTTTTGGATGTTGGGTTACTTCTTATTCTTATTGAAGCACCACAGTGACAGGGAACAGAGACATACAACAGTGGGTATGGTGCTCACCTGGTACATGTTTGACCTGAGTTTGAGCCCTGGCACCCCACTTGGTTCCCTAAGTTCACAAGGAATAATCCCTGAGCACAGAGCCAGGAGTAAACCCTGTGCACTGCTAAGTTTGGCCCCAAAACAAAACAAAACAAAGCAAAAATTATTTTAAATTCCTGCAGAAACGTATGTTTGGTATATTCATCTTTGTCTCCCTGAATCGATTACACAGTAGATGCTAAATAAAAGTCTGATTAGCACAATGACAAAAGTGTCCTCTATCTGAAAAGGCTGAGAAATCTTTATTAGAAACATGAATGTCCTACCTCTGCTGCTGAAGCAAAGGAATCAGTTGATGCAATGCTCAAGGTGTCCCGCAGGCCAAAGTCATCCATATTCCCCTTCATGGTAATATCTGTATCCTTATCTTAAAAGTAAAAAATAAAAAGTTTAGAAATGGGTATTCCTTATCACTACCCTATATTATATTCCATGAGATTTTTCAAATGTTGTCTTTATTTAGACCACTAAGGTAAAGGTAAAGGTAAAGGTAAAGGCCCTCCCGTTGATCGTCGATTTGCTCGAGCGGGCCCAGTAACGTCTCCATTGGAGACTTTGTTGTTACTGTGTCTGGCATATCAAATACTCTCGGTAGCTTGCCGGGCTCTATATTTAGACCACTAAATATAAAATAAAAAATAATACAATACATTAAGTGAACTAATTGGTTAAGTGATTTTGAGACACTGGAAAGCAGAAGAAAGTGTTATAAGTCAGAAGTTTTTTTTTACTTTTAACAGGCATTAAACTCACAATGGAGTACTATGTAGCTGTTAGAAAAGATGAAGTCATGAAATTTACATACAAGTGGTACTACATGGAAAGTATCATGTTAAGCGAAATGAGTCAGAAAGAGAGGGATAGACATAGAAAGATTGCATTCATCTGGAAACATAAAGTAACAGAATAGGAGACTAATACCCAAGAGTGGCTGAGAATAGTACCAGGAATTTTGCTCCATGGCTTGGAGGCCAGCCACACATGCTAGGGGAAAAGGGAGCTCAGATAGAGAAGGGAGCACCAAATAAAGGGTGCTAGGAGGATCCTCCCAAAATGGGAGAAGCATGCTGAAAGTAGACTACAGACCAAACATGATTGCCATTCAATGCCTCTTTTGCAAACCACAACACCCAAAAGGAGAAAGAACAAAAGGGAATGCCCTGCCACAGAGGCAGGGTGGGATGGAGAATGGGGGATGGGAGGGATACTGGGACCCGTGGTGGTGGAGGATGGGCACTGGTGGAGGGATGGGTACTTGATCATTGTATAACTGAAACCCAAGCACAAAAATTTGTAAGTCTACAACTGTACCTCATGGTGTTTCACTAATAAAAATTAAAAAATAAAAAAAATAAATAAAAGGCACTAAGTTGCAGGTGAGTCCACCACTGCCCAAAGAGAGCCCTGGGAATCAAAAACCTACACACTCGAAAATCACCACCATACTCAAGCCCAGACTCACCACTTGGGGCTGTGTAATCACAAAATGAATAAGTGAGCCGGCAGTGGGGGCGGTGGTGGTCTCTTGCCTGCCATGTGTGTTCTGTGGCCATGTGCTGCTTCCCCTCTCTGGTCTGCTGCTATAGCCAATGGACGCATGATGGAGGGAACAGGGTCACCAGGCTGGTTGGTGATCAGTTGCTATTTATTCTATTCTCCCCATGTGCCTGTTTCAGTCTTACTAACCCCCTCATTCCCATCTCCCCTTGCCCCCCATGCTAGTCTCACCACCTTGGTCTAGCCCCAATCTCCAAGTATTCCTGGTAGCAACCACACTGAGGTCCAGTAACACAATCAACATATGTAAAGCCTTTCCTCCTGGGGAAGCTCTACTAAAGATCTCCTGCAGCCAGGAGATCTGCTCAAGGGCCAAATACCATCTAGGATTGTGTTCCTTCTTTCCTTAATCCAATAACCAGTTAAACATTCATCTTAATTCTACTTTTTAATATAAGCCATTTTGTATGGACACAGTAAGAGATACAATTAAGCTTGTAGGGTGGCTCTCCTGGCAACATCTCGCTATAGATCCCAGACTACAGTGCTCAGGCCAGATTTTAGTCTTTCCTAACCCTAGCAGGGTCCTAATCCAGTTGTTACTCTTTGGATCATGACAGAATTTGTCCATGACTATGCTCTTAACTTATAGTTAATTATTATGGCTCTTGGCCTGGCCTGTTTTGATGCCAAGGAAGCTCACAGCTTGCCCTGGGTCCATTCAGTCCCTCGTCGGGACCCAGCTTTTGGGGTGGTAGGAACCAAAGGCCACTAAGGCTTAAGTTGAAAAAAAGATGCCCAGGAGTGAATATTATTCGGAGTCAATTAACTCCCAAGTTAAAAAAGCATAACATTAACTGTCTTCCTGTGTCTATGCAAAAAGGACATTGTTCTGAAGTAACAAAAGGACATAAGGGAGGGAGAAAAGCAGTATTTCACTTACAAATACAAATCAACAGAGTCTGATTTGGGGATAAAGGTGATTGACTGGTTGGAGAAGCAGAGCACAGAAAAGAGATTAAAGATAAAAACAGAGGAATGGGAGTGCCTCGAGAGCACTGTGATGAGTGTAACCCAATAAATCTGAGCTCCCTGTGGTCAGGGAGAAGTGACAAACCAATAACAAACTACAGGGACAAACCTCATCAAGAAATTGATCTGTTGAAGAATTCAAGTATGCAGGTTTTGTGATCAAAATCTCCAGGCTTTCATGGAGTCGGGGACAGGCAACCTCCCCTGCATCTCCTTGTTCTTCCGGGAACCTGGCAATCATGCTCATGAATTGCCTCTAGCACCAAACAAGCTCATTAACTCACCATGATCCAGAGACTCATAAATAAATCTCAAAAGGGATCAATAAGCTTCAGATACGTTTCTAGACTCCAAATTACCATCCAGTTAAAAATTTAACTCCTGTAGCATCCCATTAAAAATTTAAAAATTCCTGGTGTTGCATGGCATCACAAACCCTACACCACTGATATACTAGGAGTAACACACCACATTGTATGTAATGTAAAGTAGAAGAAAACCAACCTCAATTAAGAAAATATTAACACATAAAACTTAACCTATAATAACATGTTAGTAATCTCTTATACAAGGGCTTAATGACTTCCATGGTGAGATGCAACAATCTTCACGCACTTTCTTTAAAGGAAACCTTTGATCATTTTTAAAGAATTATTAATAAGTAGCAATATAATACATATTATTTAGGGCAGCTATTGAGACAGGCTTGAGTGGTGGTTGGGAAAATTTGAAATAGTGGTGGAAAGATGCAATGGTGGTGGGATTGGTGCTGGAATATTGAATGTAACAAATCATCATGAACAACTATAAAAATAAATTATTTAAAAAAATAAAATAAAATGCACTAAACTTAATTTCAGATTAAAACCAGCTTTGGGGGCTGGAATGATAGTACAGTGGGTAGGGCATTTGCCTTGCACACATCTGACCCAGCTTCAATCCCCAGCATCCCATATATTCCTCTGCACCGCCAGGAGTAATTTCTGAGTGCAAAACCTGAAGTATTCTCTGAGCCATCACTGGGTGTGTCCCCACCCAAAATAAGAAAAACAAACAAACAAAACAGCTCTGACTGCCAAAGAGATAGTACAGCTGGTAAGATGCTTGCTTGGCATGCAGCTGGCCAGGGTTTGCTCCTCAGCACCACACACGTTCCTCAAAGCAATACCAAGAGACAAAAATGAGCCCTGAATACAGCCTAGTGTGGCCCTAAGCCCCTAAATAAAAAAATACAGCTTTGAGTATATAGCTGGAAGTTAAATTATCCATCAAGTAAAGCAGGAAGTATCAAGAAAGTGGTCTGAAGAGAGCAGTTTAGCTTAGTTTAGTTTAGTTTAGTTTGGCCATATCCTTCAATGCTCAAGGGTTACTCCTGGCTCTGCACTCAGGAATTACTCCTGGCTGTGCTCTGGAGACCATATGAAATGCGGGGAATGGAACCAGGATTGGCCACATACAAGGCAAGCGCTTTCCTGCTGTACTATTGCTCCAGCCCTGACGAGCAGTTTAGTTTGAAGAGCTTTCCTAATTGGGAGAATAGGTACATCACTCAAATTAAATAAGTCATTCACACAAAATGTTGTCTCACCCGAGGCCTGAGAAATAGTATAGCAGCTAAGGTGCTCGCCCTGCATGACAGACTTGCCCAGGTTACATCCCTGAGCCCAGTGGGGTGTGGGTTAAGTTTCCCCCTATCCCCAAATGTTGTCAGATCAGTCTCTTGTGATACGCTAATTTAATTAAGTCAACATTATGAGTTCTTCATCTTCTAAGCCCGACTTAAAAAGACTGAGAGGTGACCTGGGATGTGGATCAGCAAAGAGCACATCATATTCCTGGCACTTCATATGTGTCCCCTGAGCCCCTCAAGGAGTGACTTCTGAGCACAGAGCCAGGAGTAAGCCCTAAGCACTGCCAGGTGTGTCACCCCAAAACAAAAACAAACAAAAAAGGTAAAATACAAAATTTAATTCCTTTGCTCATTTGTTTTTGGGGGGCAGATTTGGGGCCAAACTCAGCAATGAAGAGGAGTTATTATTGGTCCTGCACTCAGGAATCACTTCTGGTGGTACTTGTGGGACCATATGAGATGCCAGGGATCAAACCAGGGTGCACTGAATGCAAGGCAAACGCCCTGCCCTCTGCACTCCAGGCCCTAAATTCCTTTTATTTTTTTTGATGTTTACTCTGCAAACCTGATAGTCAAATGTAAGTTTCACTGTTAATAAAAATGTGTTACTATATTTTCAAATGATGAATCTGGCTATACCAAAATAGACTATCAGCAACACACAGCACTTGGAATATAGGAGTCAATACTTTCACATGCTATCAGGAATCTGTTAAAATTATGAATCTTTAAATAAATATTTGTCTTTGCTTACATCTGTGAGTACACTATAGCAACAACTGATGTGCTAAGAAATTTTTCATCCTACTTGTGATAAATATAAATATATAGAGAAAAATATATAGAGAATAAAATATAGAGAGATATTTCTTAATTTGATTCTTAATCTAAATTTTTCAGATTTTTCCTTCTTTGAAAAGAAATCTAGGTTGAGAAGATTGCTCAACTGGTAGAACACATACCTAGCACATGCAATGCCCAGATGTGTAACACAGCACAGCTCCCTGAGCTCTGCCAGACATGGCCCTGATGGCCCCTGAACACCCCAGGTCAAATACCACAAAACTGGCCCAACATCATTGGGAGCGATTTAAAAAAAAAAAAAGCTAATAGAAACCAGAAAATTTCCTTGGCATTCATTCAAATAAACTTCTATCTTTACCAGAGATACGATGGGCTGGAGTGATAGCACAGCGGTAGGGCGTTTG